CTGAACGTAAAAAAAAAGCAGTTCTAAAGAAATTCGGTTTCCATCGAGGTTTAAAAGTGCACACAGCTCCGAGTGGCTTCCTGATATCGGAAGGAAGAGCGTTCCAGGCGGCCGCAGAAGGGCATCTGAAAGTGCGCGATGCGGTGACCGTCTTTATTCGACGGTCAGCCCAAAAGCCGCTGCGAGATGACCGGAGTTTGCGTGATGATGGCTTACGATCCTTTGACGAGATCAGCAAGGTATTGTGGTTCATTTGTGACAGGCACTTTGTGCGTAATGAGTGCGACCTTACATAAAAGTAAGTAGTTTTTGGCTCGAACACATCGCAAGAGCTCACTGGATGACAACAACTGGCAACAGCAAGGCAGCCAAAGGAGGAAAGCGTTCCGGAGAGGGCGACCACCGCCGCAGAGATGAAGTGATGAGATCAGCTTACGTGCAGGAGCGAGTTGGGATTGTGGCATCGCTGGAGTGTGTGGGATGGTGACGGTGTGGGGAGGCCCTTCATCCAGCAGTGGACAGAAAACAACTGACGACGACGACGCAAATATAAAGTTGCCGTCACCGCTTTCCACGTAAATAAGACGTTTCCTGTTTAAATGACTTTTCCGGCTAATGGCTCGACCAGCCAACTCCGATTGAAGGCTTGCAGAGCTTCGGGCGTTCGCAGCGTTAAGGGAGGCCCTCGTCCAGCAGCGGAATCGGCAAAACTGGCCCGGGCGCGTGCAAGCATCCTCCTCCAAGCCAAAGGGGGAGGCTTTTGATTCCGCACTACGCGCTCGGAATTAATGCGGCGAGGCAATAACCGTAGCCCTTGGTGTTGTGTCTTCTTGGTTAATGTCTCGGGGCCCCAGCAGTGCCGTTTTTGGCCACGCCGCCGCTCCCCCCCCCCCCCCCAGGAAACGTTGGGGTGATTAAGCATTACCCAGCTCGCACGCTCTGCCCGTCCCCCGTTTGCGCCAGTGGTGTGGGGGGGGGGCGGGGGGGGGATGAGGGGGGGGGTGAGAGAAAAAAACACAACGTTCGACAAAAGCGCAGAGTAACGGACAGCGGCAGCGCACTGGACACGCGATCCCAGAGGTCGCCGGTTCGGTTCCATCTCTCGCGGCGGCGACGGCGGCAGTTGAATCGACGGAACGTTTCTTAAATTCCACCCCGCCACGCCGCCCCCGGCACTGTCCACACCCAGCGGTGTCAATGTGTACGCCCAACGGTTCCTTTTTAAGGAAGTTTTTTTTCCCCCGTTGCCCCCCCCCCCAACCCAACCCCCCCCACCCCGCAACCCAACCACCCGATAGCGAGGGAGGGGAGGGTATTATTTTCTGTAGCTCAGCCCCGAAAAAATTTAATCGAGCTGGCGACCTCTGGATCGCAAGTACGGTGACCATTAGCAGCATCCTGCATATAGGATTGCTCCCGGGTAAAAGGACCACAGATTAGCGGATTTCTCGCGACGCTCCAGCAGTATCCAGCTAAAAAAGAGACTCGACCTAATGGCAAGGTGTTAATGTGCGGAATGGATAGCGGGCGGCTTGTGTTACCCCCCTTCGCAAGCAGAAACCCGGCGCTTTTATCCTCAATTAGCGGATCGACCCCCCGCGTCTCCTCGCAGCCAGCCAGCTCACAAGGCGCCACCACCTCCTCGCAGCTCCGCGCACGAGTTGCACTTTTGAGAGCGGCCGTAACTTAAAATAAATTAGCGGGCAAGGGTCGGTCTCGTCGCGTAAACCGTGAAATCAGAGGAAAAAAATTCCGACGCGGTGGTCCAACTGCCTGCGGGTCTTCCCGGAGCAATGCTTTGGGGCAGCGTGCGTCTAAAAAGGCGGTGACTCTCGACGGGAGTTTCCACGGGGCCACGGGCGCTGTGCGGAGGCGGGAGGCGGAGGCGGGGGTGAGAAGGAAGCGGTGCGAGCCCGCGCGACACCGCCGTGCGCTCGCCGAAATCCTCGTTGAACGCGGGCAGCAGATGCCCTCCCGACAAGTGCCCGCGCCGAGCGAGGAATTACCGCGTAGCGCGTTACGGGGGACGGGGGGCCAGAGACGTGAATAAAAACAATGGCAATTCGAATCCCATGGCGGGACAAAGAAGTGAGAGGAGAGGTTTCGTGGCGTCACAGCCAAGAGCCGGACGCAAATACCCGGGGGGGTGGGGAAGGCATGGGAGAGGGAGTGGGGGGGGGGGGGGGTGTGTGGCGCTCGTGATTTTAAACACGGCTGTCGAGGAGGGGCCGCCGGGTGGCTCAGCGGTCAGAGACACCGAGCCGGAACCGCTGAGAGCATGGGTTCAGATCCAGATTTCAGCCGCCTGTGATTAAACTGGTGCGTTTAGCTGCACGACTCACTGCTGCCCACAACGTAGTTCTGCGGCCTAAAACACCTGCTATGCATGGTGCCCGCCCCATCCAAGTAATGTTCCTGGTTTCAGTCCTGCTTAGTTTCTGAGTGTCTGACGAGATTTGACGCAGGCGCCGGTGATTTGGTCATGAGAAGTGATTAATTTCAGAATATTTTCCTAAAATTACCGAGCGCACTCGGTAGCGGCAGTTTCACCCGTTGAGGATTTTTATGCGAAGCTGTTCAAGGAAATGCAACGATTAGGATCGAGTGCTGTGCCGAGTCTTCATTTGCCATGGTGATGGTTATTACAATAACGATAAAAAATTAGCACGTTTGGTATTCGCGCAGTACTTACAGCACGAAGCTATATCAAGAATGCCTGACGTTTCACAGACAAGTGTAGTCTGCCGGTATGGAGGTTACAGTGAGGGAAAAAAAGTATTTGATCCCCTGCTGATTTTGTATGTTTGCCCACTGACAAAGAAATGATCAGTATATAATTTTATTGGTAGGTTTATTTGAATAGTGAGAGACAGATTAACAACAAAAGAATCCGGAAAAACGCATGTCAAAAATGTTATAAATTGATTTGCATTTTAATGAGGGAAATAAGTATTTGACCCCGTCTCCATCAGAAAGATTTCTGGCTCCCAGGTGTCTTTTATACAGGTAACGAGCTGAGATTAGGAGCACACTCTTAAAGGGAGTGCTCCTAATCCCAACTTGTTACCTGTATAAAAGACACCTGTCCACAGAAGCAATCAATCAATCAGATTCCAAACTCTCCACCATGGCCAAGACCAAAGAGCTCTCCAAGGATGTCAGGGACAATATTGTAGACCTACACAAGGCTGGAATGGGCTACAAGACCAATGCCAAGCAGCTTGGTGAGAAGGTGACAACAGTTGGTGCGATTATTTGCAAATGGAAGAAACACAAAAGAACTGTCAATATCCCTCGGCCTGGGGCTCCATGCAAGATCTCACCTCATGGCGTTGCAATGATCATAAGAACGGTGAGGAATCAGCCCAGAACTACATGGGAGGATCTTGTCAATGATCTCAAGGCAGCTGGGACCATTGTCACCAAGAAAACAATTGGTAACACACTACGCCGTGAAGGACTGAAATCCTGCAGCGCCAGCAAGGTCCCCCTGCTCAAGAAAGCACATATACATGCCCGTCTGAAGTTTGCCAATGAACATCTGAATGATTTAGAGGACAACTGGGTGAAAGTGTTGTGGTCAGATGAGACCAAAATGGAGCTCTTTAGCATCAACTCAACTCGCCGTGTTTGGAGGAGGAAGAATGCTGCCTATGACCCCAAGAACACCATCCCCACCGTCAATCATGGAGGTGGAAACATTATGCTTTGGGGGTGTCTTTCTGCTAAGAGGACAGGACAACTTCACCGCATCAAAGGGACGATGGACGGGGCCATGTACCGTCAAATCTTGGGTGAGAACCTCCTTCCCTCAGCCAGGGCATTGAAAATGCGTCGTGGATGGGTATTTCAGCATGACAATGACCCAAAACACACGGCCAAGGCAACAAAAGAGTGGCTCAAGAAGAAGCACATTAAGGTCCTGGAGTGGCCTAGCCAGTCTCCAGACCTTAATCCCATAGAAAATCTGTGGAGGGAGCTGAAGGTTCGAGTTGCCAAACGTCAGCCTCGAAACCTTAATGACTTGGAGAAGATCTGCAAAGAGGAGTGGGACAAAATCCCTCCTGAGATGTGTGAAAACCTGGTGGCCAACTACAAGAAACGTCTGACCTCTGTGATTGCCAACAAGGGTTTTGCCACCAAGTACTAAGTCATGTTTTGCAGAGGGGTCAAATACTTATTTCCCTCATTAAAATGCAAATCAATTTATAACATTTTTGACATGCGTTTTTCTGTCTCTCACTGTTCAAATAAACCTACCTTTAAAATTATAGACTGATCATTTCTTTGTCAGTGGGCAAACGTACAAAATCAACAGGGGATCAAATACTTTTTTCCCTCACTGTATATGTGGTTAATACATGGTCTATACGTGGCTTGCTACGTGTTTTTTTCCCCCAATGAAGTGATTCGCGGGTGACTTTTGAAGTGTGGAACAAAAATGTCGACACGTGGCTGAAACTGTTGGTGCAACGACAGCTCAACGTTGGGTGGTGCGATGTTCCACATTTACTGGGCGGGCGTGCATTCTGGGTTTTTGGTCATTGAGGTCGATGCTCTAGGCCGCGTGACGAGGTGAAAGCTCGACCCCTGCCAGCATTATAAACGCCTCTTGCCATGCGCGCGTGTATTTACGCATACACACCTCCGCACTTTTTTGTGACTTTCTCCGATCTATGCGCTTCGTGACCGTGCTCACGAGTTCCTTCTTTAGGCGACTTGCCGCTCCTGCGATCGTGTAAATCATCATCACCGTACGTCGTACAGCGTTCTGAGATGCAGTCGCACCGACGACGCTATGCGAAATTAAATCATCGTCATTAACACTCTCACGGGCGCCGACCGAACAACCGGGAGAAGAAAAACAATCGCCGAAGACCGAAAAGGAACGCGCAAAAACCGAACCGCAAAGTGCGTTCGCACCTCCACAATTAGCACGGTCGTCGATGTTCGCACTGGACGAGAGGCGCAACATCTCCTCCCTCCCACCCCCGGCTCACCGGTGCTCTCCGTGGCGGCCGGGCCGGCCGGTGGGACTCGTGGTTCACCGTCCATGGCCCCAGCGACTCGTTGGCATAGAAGTCCATGGGGTAGCGCTCCTGCCATTCGATTTGCTTGATAGCCACCGCCGCCTGGGGGGGTCGGGGGTAGGGCGGGTGGGGGGGGGGTGGGGGAGGGGGGGGGCAGAGGGATAAAGACGATGAGAGTGGACGGGGGTGCCGGCGCGGCGGGTACCAACGCACCGTCGCGCTGCCACCGGATGCGCATTCGATGATGGCGGCGGTCGGTTTGTATCTGTGTGACCACGCTGCAGCCTACGGTGGCAATTGGATGGATGGGCAGGCAGATAGAGACTCTTAAGTGTTGATCCTCTTCCAAACGATAATGATGCGAATGAGAACATTTGCGCGATGTAAATCATCACTGTTTCACCGAGTGCAAATCACCTACCAGCTACCCCGTCAATTTTTTTAAAGGCAGAACAATTTGTTTCCAATCCACTGCTGGATGAGGGTGCTTCCCGTATCTTGTGACAACCCGCATCTCTCCCCACCTTGCGTGTTCAATGATTGCATCGTTCCACATACATTTTGGTCGGATAGAGCAAACGGATCGGTGGAATAACACTGAGTACCGCATCTCCCAATGAAAAGTGAACGCTTGACATGTCGCTAACACTGTGGAACTCTTTAGTCAGGAGGGTCTTGCCACAATGGGATGTCTGGCCTAACACCAATGACGTTGTACATATGAATCATTTGGCGGGACCCTGGGGTCCCGCAAAAATCAGGTCAATAACTATTATTTTTCAGTCCGCCCACTCGTGACCCCGACAGCAACGCGCCGCCCGCCCAGACTCGCGCCAACAAGCGCCAGCAGCAGCAGCAGCAGGCGGCGATCGACACGATGGGCGCCACCCCACCGGCCAAACGGAAGCCCGGGGGGCGTCAGCCGCGGTCGCGCGCGACTACAACGCCCTCCGGTCAGCCGTCGATCCTCAGCTTCTTTGCCAAGGCCAGCCCCACCGCCACCCCCCAGGCAGTGAATTTAACGTGTTTATGTAATTTTTCAACTTTTTACGAAACTTAGTGCCCCGAGTAGCTCTCGACGAGGCCAATCGATTGACCACTAGTTTTGTTGTTGTCGGTAAGGCAGCAAGACTCGTGTCGCTACGCGGTTTTTCCCACCCCGGGGCAGTGAATGGACCCCGGGGTCCTGCCAATTGCTTCATATGTTTACTGTTTTAAGCTATGGGAGGAAACCAGAGAACCTGGAGGAATCCTATGTAGAACAGGGGGAGAACGTACAGACATCACACAGAGAGGCGTCCGAGTCGGGAATCGAAACCCTGTCCTTCCTGCTACAAGGCACAAGCATTACCACTGCGCCAAGAGAGGAGGAGGAGAGAGAGAGAGAGAAAGAAAAAACAATAAAAGTGGCACTAAAAGGGAAAAAATACGATAGGTGATGTTTCGGGCAATGGGACCTTTTTCATGGCACATGTGCCATTACTCTTTACAGTGCAGCATTGCCAACGTAGCATCACCAAATAATAATTTTAATCTCAAATAGTCTGCTCTGTGTTGGCCTAATCTAAGGGAACGAGTAATGGCATCGATGCACCACCCCCCCTCCCCCGCCGCCTCGCCCGGAGATGGTACCAATTACCCCCAAGATGCATCGACACGGCACGCGGAAGTCGATAGCGCCGCAGATAGGGCGGCGATCGCGCGCGCGCTCTGACCGAGCGGCCCGTCAAACCGCGGGACGTCGCACCGTCGGCTGCTTGGATCCGCGCGTTGCGCGCGACAAGTTGCCATGTGATTGCAGCTCGGATCCACGAGAGTCGGAAGCGCTCGCACGTCTACGCGGGCGCTGCGCAGCGGTGGGACGTGCACCGTGAAGGAAAGGTCGACTCGTCGCTCGAGTCCCAGAAACATTGCACCTTCTGGTTTTGACGTTCCTCCTCCACCTCGAGGACAGCGGAGTCTTCTGTGAAAAAGAGCCGCGCGGCTCGTCGGACTCCTCCAGCGTAGGTAAATATTCAGATTTCCGCAACGTTCAGCCACTTGGGAACATCAAAAGGCCGACGGGCACATCTCGTTGACGAGAGCAAGATTCAAGAGGAGACACGAGTGGTGCGATTGTGGCAACGCAAACCAAACTATGGCAATATATTAAACCACTTGAGTTATTCTGCCCTCCCCTTCAACGGAGGAGGAACAGCAAAACTCCACGAACTCTCTCCTGAAGCTCTCTCGCGGGTAGCAGGCCTCGACACTAACATTTGGCTAATTGAACATATTGCCACTCACTAGAATATAACAGATTCGGTGAAGTGGACACCGACGGGCTATCTGCCCATGGATCGTGATGATGATGACGTGTGTGTGTGTATATATACATGCAAGGGATGAGTTTCAGATGTTTTTCAAGACTCATTTCATATTGTTTAAAATAAATTGATTGTTTACATTTTGTTCGTTTTCGTTCGTTCCTCAGTCCGCTTGCCCGGATGAGGGTCGCGGCGGCATTATGCACCAATGTGAAATGTCTTCACGCTAAAATTTGAAGAAACAATCATGGGCAGAAGAGAAAGCGAAGGCCTTCAGAGCCTGAACTTTAACTTGAATAGCAGCAGGGATCCAACAGCACAGACATCTGGAGTGGTGGGGGGCAGGAGTTGCAGACCATAGGAGCAGCACGAGAGGAGTCAACCTCCCACCCAGCGGACGTATGAAAGATACATAACTCGGCAAAACCGCAAATATGTAAATTAAACCCTGCATTTCCCCGGGGCCAGCCTCTTACATTTGATAATTATGCAATATTTTTTTTTGCTGGGGTGGCGTGGGGAGAGAGCAGCCTTACGTGGACAGGTGTCGCAGAACAATAAAATGCCGAGAGACGCGATTCTAATCCCAGCGTGTAGCTAATTACAGCGCAACTCCAATAATGTGGCCGGTTTATAACTTACAGGTGGTGCGTAGGGTGGGCGGGCGGGCGGGCGGGTGGGCGGGTGGGCAGGGAGGGAAGATGAGAAAGCGTCAGCAACTGCCGGCGCATTAAATGGCTCACAAATACATTTACGGGCCAACCATCCGTGCGCAGTTTGCAATCTATCAAGGCTGTGCCAATTACCTGCTTTCCTTTTTTTTTCCCTCTTCTCCATTCTTTTTTTCTTTCAAGGACGAGCCAAAACTAATTAGAAATATATTTCTTATCGCGATGAGCCAGAACAATTCGAGGCACTCCAACAATGTTTCTTTCGCATTTCATTTTCTATCTGAAGGGCTTCCGCAGAGATGCGTGCTGCTGGCAAGGGCCGCGTGGGCTACGTCGGTCGTTATCGCTCGCCGAAAACTACCGCGCGAGCAATTACATCGCAGAATGAATTAAAAACATCACAATGGGAAATGTTGAGCTTAAATCTTAAGTTAAAAGTTCAACGGAAACATTCTTTGTAAGTTCCACACACAGGGGAAGCGTATGTCTGCATTATTCCTACGGCCACCAGATCACCCTGAATGTGGCCGAGTCTCAGAAGCTAAGTCGGGCTGAGCCTGGTTAATACTTGGATGGGCGACTGCATGGGAATACCAGGTGTTGTCTGCCACTGGGAGTGATGCGCGTTGCACAGTAGTCAAAACGATATACGTATTTCTGAGAGATGGAATTTATCCAAAATTAAGTCACTTAAAACTAATTTTACAACGATCTATTTTTTCCGCATACAGTTTGTGGGAAACTTGGCCCTGAGACCCTTCAACTCAATCGCCCACTAGAGAAACCTATTCGATCACCGGGCGGCTGAAATCTAGACTCGGACCCAGGTATGTCCTGCTATGGTCGGGCTGTGCACCGACATTTTTTGACCATGAGTTCCACTGGCAAATGAAATGGGATTATTATTCGGAGGGTGGAGCAATGGTACAGCGGTTAGGACACTGTGCCACGAAACCCGGCGACCCGACTCAGGTTTTAATGCGCAGTGTTGGTAAACATGAGATACACGGCCCACGGGGAAAGCAGAGGACTGGGGTTTGAGAACCACTGGTCCACATAATAGCTTTAAAAATGTTAAATTGAAAAATGTCAATTTTTTTATCTGAAAAAAATCTACTCATTTCAGTGCCTTGATCTCCTACGAGATTATACGGCAAAACGCGTAGCATTTTGACCTCTGAAAGCACGGCCAACATGACCTTCTTCCAATACTTAAATACCACTCTTCGCATTCAAATTTGTTAATAATGAACAAGCCAAGTTATTAAAGATCTGTCTGCTAAAATTCTCCTGGCCTACAGCAGCACCCCCGCCCCCTCCCGCAAGAGGTCGTGACCTCCCGAGACTCCATTGGAAACAGGAAGCATGATGGATTGATTGATTGATTAATGATTGATGTTAAAATCATTATTTTAATTAGAATGTTCAGTGCAACTGTACAATAGAGGATGGCTGAAATGTGGTCAGGCACATGAGTGTCAAGCCGTGAAAAAAAAAAGAGGGGAAGGTGGAAGGAGGATACACAACTTTTTTTTCGAAAAAAATATTTTTGCCCAAAATAAATAAAAACCGCTGTGAGAGCTGAAAAATGCAGCTTGATTACTTTTTTTACTTGAATAAGATTTTTACAACAAAAAAATGTAAACGTGGGCTTTCACGACGAATATTCCTGATTGGGTTCTAAATTGTATGCAAGTATAACATTGTCAAACTTTCTGCTTGCTTTTCAACACTGCTGCTTTGCTAAAAAATATAATTCATTGGTACATTTGCACCCACATGACAAACTTGCTTTCATAATGCTCACACCGTGACCTAATCCAACATGAACTAATCTTGAATCACTCCTTAATGCTCAACATTCCAAACGGGAACCCCTCCACCTCATACAGCACAACTGAATCCATCGCAAAAGTTTCTGACGACTTAAAACAACCATTTTAAACAACCACTTGTTACAGTGGCTAAGGTCGCAGCCCATTCGTCAGGGACGCCAAAGTCAACGGAGGTTATACCCGAGGAGTCCAAGCAACCTGCTTTGGCAAAGTGCAAGTTGGATGTTTGTTTGTCAGTGGGCGACGATAACTCGCGTTCGATCCCTTCCACGTCGTCGTCGCCGTAGTGG